AAACGATCCGGGAAACGGGCCTGGGCACGGTACGGATGGCATAGTGTGAGTAGGCCCTTAGAGGCTTCAAATACGCAGCTTTCCATCATCTGGCAACCCGGCCTGCTGAAATATAATGGCTAAACTGGCATTGGGCGGGTGAAATGGCCAAAATAAAGACAGACGAGACGTTCACAGCAGAATATCTGACTTCAGCATTGTTTATCAGATAAACTTCACTCAGCATATTTCTGAAACATCTGCAAACACATGAAGGTGCTTTACAAGAGTCAAACACTGACATGCAGCAGCTTTAATAAACACTTTACTAGCTGTCATCATATTGACTTTAGTTAAATTAACTACTGTTAAGGTGAAGCAGTGGTGCAGTAGGTAGTACTGGTTTGAGTCTCGGCTGGGTCAGTTGGTGTTTCTGTGTGGAGTTTGCATGTTCTCCCCGTGTTTGCATGGGTTTCCTCCGGGTGCTCCGGTTTTAACACATGCGCTATAGGGGAATTGATCAACTAAATTGGTCGTAATGTATGAGTGTGTATGGGTGTTTCCCAGTACTGGGTTGCCGCTGTGTAAAACATATGCTGGAATAGTTGGCGGTTCATTCCCCTGTGGCGACTACTGATAACTAAGGGACTAAGCTACAGAAAAATGAATGTATGAACATTGTTTACCAAAAATAACTTTGTTAATTGTCAGTTCACGTTAACTCAGAGTGCATTAACTAATGTTAACAAACCCAATTCTGTATTTAAAGTAAATGTTGATCTATATTTAGTGAATGCTGTACAAGTATTGTTCATACTTATTTCAGATCAATCAATACATGAACTAAAATGAACTGATGGAACCTCATTGTAAAGTGCTATTGTGTGTTCACACATAAATATGATATTATTTCCTGCATGAAGCTTTAGGAAGCACTTCTGACCTACAAACACACTAGATACTCGATCTAAAAATAATACAGTATATTTCCCGTTAGACTCATTATCACACGTGTCAACATACAGTTCTAATCATTAAATGATGCACGCTCAGTAGTTTGCCATTTATTTGCTTTATGCATTTGTAATGTATTATTGTCAATGTTCCTGTATGCTTCTGAAGAACTGCGCCTTGCTAAATAGACCCGTGTGTCATTTCTGCCCACAGGGTTGATTCTCAGTATGAGATTTAATTTATTTGCCATGTCTGTGAATTGCAACATTTACTGCAACTATTAAGAGTTTTGCAATACAGTAATTTTGTCCTAATACACACAGTTTATTCAGGATATTATTCGCCCTCTTATTATATTTCCTAAGTGCTGTTTAATGTAGAGAAGAACACATTTTTAAACATCATAGATTTACTAACTAATAAATAACTCATATATAATTACTCTTTTTTTATCTTTGCATTGATATCAGTATATATTATTTCTTTATATCTTTATTTCTTTATTTATTTACTTGTTTTTTGTTTGTTTGTTTGTTTGTTTGTTTGTGTATTTGGTCATAATTTACCTTGATAAACGCTTTAAGCACATTTAATTTAGTTTTTTTATTTCTTTGTTTGTTTTTTAGCATTTATTTATGGGTTTGTTTATTTATTGGTTTGTTTGTTTATTTATTTGGGCATAACTTTCCCTGACAAACTCTATAAGATTGTTTTTTGAGCATTTATTTGCTTATTTATTTGTTTGTTTTGCAGCATTTATTTATTTATTTATTTATTTATTTAATTATTTGTTTATTTATTTATTTATTTATTTATTTATTTATTTATTTATTTATTTATTTATTATTTGTTTGTTTGTTTGTTTTGTAGCATTTATTTGTTTATTTGTTTGTTTATTTTATGTGGGCATAACTTTCCTTGACAAACTCTTTAAGTAAATTTTAGTTTTGTTGTTTGTTTGTTTGTTTGTTTGTTTGTTTGTTTGTTTGTTTGTTTTTGTACCGTTTATTTATTTATTTATTTAATTTAGGCATAACTTTCCTTGACAATCTCTATAAGAAAGTTATAGTTTTTTTTTTTTCATTTGTTTGTTTGTTTTTGTAGCATTTATTTATTTATTTATTTATTTATTTATTTATTTATTTATTTATTTATTTATTTTATTTAGGCATAACTTTCCTTGACAAAATCTATAAGTAAAGTATATTTTAGTTTTTTTTTTATTTGTTTGTTTTTATAGCATTTATTTAGTTATTTATTTTTTATCTCAACTAATGTGCTGTGCATTTCATATTACACATTTATCCATTTTGTTTTACATTGCTTTATTTAGTATTAAAGTATTAGCGAAGTAAAAAATAATTGACAGAGTGTGAATAATTTTGCTGTACTTCTTCATGTTTCCCTCAGATTGTAACTAAACAGCCAAAACCTGAGAACCAAAGCAACTCGACCAAAGGAGAACAAACCAAACGTGTGAAACCGAAGCACAGAGAATAATCGTTGAATAATACTAATAATCTAATAATCTGAGAAGATGAAGTTGGAGGCGTCAGTGGAGGACACCAGCGGCTGGACGGAGGAGGATTTTGCCTTAAACTGCACTTACATCGTCCAGGACCAGAGCAGCGACCCCAGGTTCAGCCTGCCCAGAGCCATGACCTCCATACCCCGAAACCTCAGCTTCCAGTACAACAGAGACCAGCAGGTACACACACACACACGCACACACACGCGCACACACACACACACACACACAAATATAATACAAAATAAAATAAAATATATAAATTATAAAAATAAAAAGAATAATATATTAATAATAAATAATAAAATATTAATATAAATAAAATAATATAATAATATAATAATAAATTAAATTAAATTAAATTAGTGAATGAGTTTTCCCGTAAAACAACCTAAATAATCTCCCATTGGAGTAAACAAAATAATCTTGTTTTTCATTTTTACATTAAATTGTTTTGCTTGTTTTAATGAAAAAAAAACTCTTTTAAAAATTATTTTGACTCGTTTTTTCTGAAAACAAGACTATAATTTTTGCTTGTGTTAAAATGCTGAATTTGTAGATATTTGGACTTGCAACAAGACAGAAACTCTAAGGGAGTAAAGCCTTTTGCAGTGCAGTCATCGAATCCTCCTAGACAGTAGGTGATAATAATGGAGTGATTCTGTGAATGGATTTGTTGATTTGGAGAATCAGAGGACAGAAGCAGGTCTGAGTGTTTCAGTGGGTCAGTGTGACGGAGACGCGTCAGGGATCAGTGTCACAGGGTCAAACAGGTAACAGGTTAATCCCATTAACAGTGTGTGGGTGTGTGCGTGTGCATTTGCATAAGCCTATGCATGTGTCTAGGAGATCCACACACTCAGGCAGAACATGTGCAGGTTTGTCTATCACGATATAAGTCATCTCAAATTTTACAGCAATTTTCATTTCATTTTCCTTCAGTTTAGTCCCTTAGTCTTTACACAGCGGAATGAACTGCCAATTATTCCAGCATATGTTTTATGCAGCGGATGGCCTTCCAGCTGCAACCCAGTCCTGGGAAACACCCATACACACTCATTCTCGTACACACACTCATACACTTTAGCCAATTTAGTTGATCAGTTCCCCTATAGCGCATGTGACTGTGAGGGAAACCGGAGGAAACCCAAGCCAACACGGGGAGAACATGCAAACTCCACACTGAAACACCAACTGACCCCGCCGGGACTTGAACCAGCAATTTTTTTTGCTTTTAGGCCACGGTGTTAACCACTGAGCCACCATGCCACCCACTTGATAACAATATACACACACACACACACACACACACACACATATACATATATATATATATATATATATTCATAATATACAGTAGTACTTAATATTGACCACTTGTAAAGACTATTGGTCCCTCTTTATATTGATTGGGTTAAACTACATTTACTTGCATGAAAAAATAAATGCAATGCACACTTGTGGTGTTCATTGGGTCAGAATTATGGCAGGTTTGGTGGTATGGATGGGTTTAAGGGTGGAATAAAGTGTGAGAGATGGTCAACAGTGTATTATAAATGTAATTACAGAGATTACTTACAGATTTAAGGTATTTAATAAAGGTATTAGGTATTTAATCAGTCATAAGAACAGTGTAAACACATGCATTTACAGTACAAACACTGCAAAACAAATGCTTTTTTTACTTTTTATCTTATTTTTAGTGCAAATATCAAACAATTCTTAAGTCAAGAAGCATTTTCTAGACAAGAATACACATCTTCTTGATTAAACTTATGTCATAATACTAACCAAAATTATTTCATTTACCCCACTATCGAATTATTTTGCTAGTTTTATGGAAAAACTCATTCAATTTTGACTCTATTTCTGAAAACAACACAATCTGGTGTGTAATAATGTGTGTACACATATAATATATTTATTATGTACTTAGATGATTACTGTAAACATCTTTTCAACGCTACGATATAAACGATGGAGCATGATATAAAACGGCAGACTTCATTTCTGCTCAGCTTCTCTCTCTGGTTTACACACATTTGACCGTGTCACTCTTCACCCTTTGCTGTGGTTTCTTCAGCGTCTGCTTCGAGCGTCTTTCTCTCTGCATGATCCAGTTTCCCTCAGTGACAGGTGAAAGTCAGTTCCTCTTTTCATTGCCCTCTGCTCTTTTAATGTTCTCTCGCGCTGAAGGTGTGAAACTGTGGTCATCAGTTCAGGGAGGATGCTTCACTTCTCTGCGCTTCACTACACACATGCACACACACAAACATGCATGCATACACACACACACACACACACACACTCTCTTGCTTCAACAAAATCAGACAAAAAATGAAAAACTGTGTGTGTGTGTGTGTGTGTGCGCGCATGCATATGCATATGTGTTTACATGTGCATGCATGTGTATGTTTGTGTGTATGTGTGCATGCATGTAAATGTGTGCATGTGTGTGTGCATGCATTCATATGTGTATGTGGACATGCATAAATAGGTACGTGTGTGTGTGTGTGTATGTGTGTTTGAACAACTCTTTTAAGATGATTCTCACTCACCTCATACTCAACCTTTAGGCATGCGCTGCATTATTTCTCTCTCGTTCACACACTCTTTTTTTGGTATCTCTAATTTCCTCACTCTCATCTTTCCCACACATCACTATCATTTCCCTCTTTAAGCATGCATATAAATATAGAATGACCATTGAGACACACAGTATGAAGCTTTAATAACATAATAACAGCAGGTCTCTCTCTCTCAATAGCGGAAATGCAAATAAATACAATGAAAGCATTGCACACTTCCCATTTCTGTGCATGTGTTCCTCTGCTCTCTGCTGATTCTGTGAAAAGCACTGCTCTTACGTTGCTGATGGCGTTTGTTTAGGACAGAAAAACCCATGTGTGTACGTGCGTGTGTGTGTCACACATTTTTATTGGAAAGAAGAGATCTAATATTTAAGGGATGTCAGAAACTGAGTCTCATGGTGACTGGGCTTCTGGTCATCCGGTTTCTGTGATGCACAATCCCTAGTTTCTCTACTTAGTCAAATTCTGTGTATCAGTGGTGTTTTTTAGTGCATGTTTTGTGGAGGAGAACAGAAAGTGAGACCTCTGGACCGACAGCACACACTGGATTTAGCACATCAGCAACACTGATGATATAATAAGCAGAAGACAGGGAGCATTTTACTCGCGTTTTCCTTTGCTTTCAGACGAAACGTTACTAAAACTGACTGTCTAGTCATGCTGGATGCTAGAAAAGCATCACTCCCTTCTCCTAAACTGGTGACAAACCAACATCCTTTACTCATTCCAGTGTGCAAAAAAGCTGGTGATTATAAACCTGCATCATTTACCAGTCCCAGTATGCCAAAAATATGCTCACTAAAACTAATCATAATGTGCTAAATATTCTTTATATTGATGACCAACAAGCCAGTGTCTTTACTGGTCCCAGTATACAAAACATTTGTTAAACCAGTGTCTTTACTGGTCCCAGTATGCAAAACATTTGTTAAACCAGTGTCTTTAATAGTCCCAGTATGCAAAACATTTGTTAAACCAGTGTCTTTACTGGTCCCAGTATGCAAAACATTTGTTAAACCAGTGTCTTTACTGGTCCCAGTATGCAAAACATTTGTTAAACCAGTGTCTTTACTGGTCCCAGTATGCAAAACATTTGTTAAACCAGTGTCTTTACTGGTCCCAGTATGCAAAACATTTGTTAAACCAGTGTCTTTACTGGTCCCAGTATGCAAAACATTTGTTAAACCAGTGTCATTACTGGTCCCAGTATGCAAAACATTTGTTAAACCAGTGTCTTTACTGGTCCCAGTATGCAAAACATTTGTTAAACCAGTGTCTTTACTGGTCCCAGTATGCAAAACATTTGTTAAACCAGTGTCTTTACTAGTCCCAGTATGCAAAACATTTGTTAAACCTTTTACAAGTCACAGCCAGATATATGCTTTATTAGTTATTATCACTAATCAAATTATGCAAAATATTGATTATACTGGTGATAACAAACTGGTGATTATAATACCAGTTTCCTAAAAAAAATGCTGGACTGGTCACTAATACTGGTTCCAGTGTGCAAAACATTTGTTAAACCAGTGTCTTTTACCAGTCTCATTATGCAAAAAACGTGTTAAACTGGTGAATATAAAACCAGTTTCCTACAAAAAATGCTGAAATGGTCATTAATACTAATGAATATTAATAATAATTAATTAACATTAATACTGTCCCAGTATGCAAAATATTCATTAAACGAGTGACTTAAAACCAATATCCTTTAATAGTCCCAGTATGCAGGAAATATGCTATATTAGTGATTAGTGCTTGTCATAGTATGCAAAATATTCATTATACTGGTGACTAACAAACTACCATGCTTTACTAGTCCCAGTATGCAAAAAGATGCTATACTGGTCACTAATACTAGTCCCAGTATGTAAAACACCTATTAAACCAGCGTCTTTTAGTCCCAGTATACAAGGAAATGCTATATTACTGATTAATACTAGTAGTAATATGCAAAATATTCATTATACTGGTGATAAACTAACCAGCATCCTTTACTAGTCCCAGTATGCAAAAACAAAAACTGTTAAACTGTTGAATATAAAACCAGTTTCTTAAAAATAAAATGCTGTACTGGTCCCAGTACTCAAAATATTTGTTAAACCAGTGTCTTTTACTAGTCCCAGTATACAAAAACATGTGTTAAACTGGTGATTATAAAGCCAGTTTCCTAAAAAAGAAATGCTGAACTGGTCACTAATACTAGTCCCAGTATGCAAAACATTCATTAAACCAGTGTTCAAAAACTAGTGTCCTTCATCCCAGTATACAAAAAATATTAGTGATTAATGCTACTCTGCAAAATATTTGTTATAATGGTGACTAACAAACTACGATGCTTTACTAGTCCCAGTATGCAAAAATATTCTATAGTGGTCACTAATACTATAGTCGCAATATGCAAAACATTCACTAAACCAGTGTCTTTTATTCACAAAGCTATATTAGTGATTAATACTAGTATACAAAATATTCATTATACTGGTGAAGAACAAACCAGTGTCTTTTACCAGTCCCAGTATGCAAAAACATGTGTTAAACTGGTGGTTTCCTAAAAAAATAAACACTATACTGGTCACTAATACTAGT